GGGGTGTGTACCCAAAAGGGCAATGACTAGATCGTATGGCAATTTTATGTTTAGATTTTTGAGGAACCACTACTATGCTGCCCCATAGGACTTTGCACAAACCCAGTGGCAAAGGCAAAGACGACCCTGTGCCGGCCCTGTCCGAACCCCTCTGCCTGAGGAGCCCCCCGCTCTCCCCCAGCACTGCATAGGCACACACAGAGGTTCTGCAAGGTGGTGGGGCTCCTGTCTTTAGAAGCAGCGAGGGAGCTCATGCAGACACATCAATCAACACCTCTCCTGGAGTCCAGTGACCAGGGGACAAACCTCAATCTTTTGTGGTGTCTGAGACCATCCATCACTAGGATGGCTTGGGTCACATCGCCATCTGATTTGTTCTCCAAGCGGAAGCCCCCTCCCTGACTTTCTTTTCTCACCTCTTCCTGTGGTCTGAATTCCCTCACTCAGTTAATTAGCATGCCTGGCACTGTAGCTTAAGACTTTAATCAGCGTGGGGTGGTTTTAATTAATCGTGTGGCTCTGCATCTGGAGTGGTTTGTGTTCCAGGGTCAGAAGAGGAGCCGACGATGGGGGAAGGGAGAGGCGGCTTTGTTTGGTGTAAGGTGTGGGCGGAGAATCTGGGGACTTGGGGGGAAAGAATCGCAATGCCATGGTGCTCGGAAGCCACCTGGGCACCCGTACAGCTTCCTAGCAAGGTGCGGAAGGTAACCTGAGCCATGAGGGTATAGAATCGCACCAAGATAAATGATGGATAATCCGTCTAGTTTTCAGAAGTGACCTCAAGGGTCAGAAAGTTTTCTGTTGCTTTCCAGAATTACCCATGGGGTGGGGAGTGAGGCAAAGCAGTCGTATAGATGGAGAGATGTAGAGTCAGTCTGGAAGGGGTTGGCCGTTCTGGGGAATGCTGCCGAAAAATGGGCCTTTGAAGGTTTCCCAGGACCGACCTTCCTTGGGAAAGGCGAGGTGAGTGACACCTACCTCTCAGGTAATGGTAACCTTTTTGCCTGGTCTATAGCATCCACACTTTAGAAAGAATGGGGGGAAAAAACGAGATAAAGCTCAGGAGAGTAATCAAAAATGACTGAGTGTATACATAGAAAGATCCTAAAAGAAAAGGTCGAGAGAAGCTGGGTCTCATGATAACTGCCTAGGAAGGACTTATGCCCCTGTCCCACAGGGATCTATCTAGATGAAAAGCAGAGAAAAAGACAAGTCTGTTACAGTATCTGGTAAAAGCACTGAATAAGTCCAGGAAGCAGGGCTGCCCCGGAGTTTCATCTCAGATGAAGCGATGGCTGCTGGTTAGGGGCAGACAGCACAGTTCAAGGAGGAAACAGTAATATCAAGGTGCTAAAGAAGAAAAATTCCTCCCGGCCTACTATACTCCTGGTGGAGTTCGTGGGTCCAGGGAAACCTGCTGGAGCAGTTTCCTGTGGTGTGGTAGAGAGGTAATGTGTCAGTGCAACAAAGAACGAGACATTAAGGACAAAGATGACAATAATAACCGTCACTTATAATGTCCTTGTGTGTTTACAAAGCAACTTCACACCTATCAGGTGATCTGTGCTCTGGGAAATCCCGTGAATTCGGGAGGTGCAGGGAGATTTTTATCTCCGTGTTTAAAGACGAGGGAAAATGAGACCCAGAGGGAGAGGAGGACCTCATTGCTGGTAAATGGTGGAGTCAGGATTTGAATCTCACTCTGTGGGCTCCTACACTCTTTCCAACCAAACTAAAATCACTCTCATTTAGAATGGGGAGAGGAAGGAGTTTATAATTCTAGGTATTGGCGTTATTAAACACCAGTTGCAAGATATTTTTAGAAATCTGAATGCAAAGCCTTTTGAGAACATCAGGTTCGCCAAGCAGCTGGCATACCCCCAGAGCCCCATGGCCCATCCATCTAAGACAGATTATAGAACATGTCAATGGGAGAAACTGGGGAGGATATTAATTAAGTTTAGACCAAGAAAATGCTTTTGATTGAACAAGCCATGATTTTCTCCTTAAGCCCATGCAAAATATGGAGTGCTAGACAAGCATCTGGAACACATGAAAACATTATTATGTACTTGTGTTACCAACTTTCACCATCTATGGCCCCTTTTATTACTTTTTCCCCTCTAGGCATCATGTTTTCAAAGATTTTTGCCTGCTAAACAAGCTGCATTTATTAAGTAATAATATATTTCCTATTCTTAATGTGGGACATACATCACTGAGTGTGCACACAAAAAAGAAAACAGCAACAATCCAATTTCCATTACGCTTTGGGAAATATTGAAAATAGCATGAGGACCTTATTACCACTCATGGATTCCGGGGAGTCCAGGTACTCTGGGCTGGGAACCCCTATTTATATGCTTACATGAACAGCGTGTCTGTGCCCACTTAAGGGATGAGGAGAGACATTAAAGAGGCAATAGGAATAGGGTAAGTTCCTGGCTAGGTGTAGAGCCCGCAGGGTAATTTGTACGAAATTGATTGTCAGAATTAATTGCAAGAATGGGAAGGTTGCATGTAGGCAGAGCTCAGGCGTGGCCCCTGCAGCTTACATGAGCAGTAATAACGGGAAAGATAAAATCCCACGAGTGCCAAAAGATGTCTGAGAGGGCCACAAAGGCCAAGGGCAAAGCTAGAAGAATGGGAGGAGGAGGCCAACAGGTAACTAGGAAGAAGTAAAAATGCAGCACACGGTCAGTAAGATGGCTCAGCGGGCACCTGAGGAAACAAAACAAGAAGGTATATAAAGGGAGTAAGTAAATGAAGGTGGAAAGGGAAGAGCGATCATATGGGGTTTGGTTTAATTACTAATTAATTCCAAAAGACAGTCTTGAGACTAATTGAGCAGACCCTGGTGCCAATTGGCCTGTGCGTGAGCTACAAGTAGCCCCTGCCAAGTGTACATCATTTTAGGGAGTCAGATGCCCGTGCAGCAGCATGGGATGCAGCCTGTGCATTTACCTACGAAACACGGAGGCTTGGTCAGGTCGGTGTGGTTTGTACTTCTTGGTGCCTGTTGTCTGATGGCGAAAAATTAAAAAGGGGCGGCCACATCAAATTCTCTTAGCACAAGCTAAAAAATTAGGTAAGAAGTCTTCCGCTGAGATAAAAAGGTGCCCCAAATAGAAAAGGATGATTAAAAAAAAACCTTTTTGTGAGGAAGAAACTGGCAAACTAGAGAATAAAGACCAAGGCTATTGAAAGAAAATTAAAATTCATTTGATCCTAGGTATTGTGATTAAGTACCTCCTATGTACCAGGCCCTGAGAAGTCATGTAAAAAGACATCCAGGCGAAGCTGCATTGGAGAACAAAGAAATGCAAAAGATCTTTCCGAGCGTGCAGGCAATGGAAGCAATTGGGCTAGGCAGAAACGTCACGTGGAGCATTTTACATTAATAAGTGGCTAGCAAAAGCAAGTGGAAGGTTCTGGGGTTGGAGAGGAAGCCTCCAGTCATGAAAAGGGTGTGAGCAGGAGGAGAGGTAGCAAAGGCTGTTCTATGAAGGCACCAGAATGAAACACCTTTAGAGCCAGTTGGGCAACAGCATGAGAAAGAGAGAGGGCAGGTTAACAGCTACAAGGTGAGGTCAAAGGCATGGAGAACAAGAACGAGAAGAGTCTTGGATTTGGCTTGTGTGCTCTCTGGGACCGCACAGATGATGAAACAAAAGGAGGGGAACCAAGAAGAAGGCAGAACACTGTATGGAAAGAAAGAAAGAAAGAAAGAAAGAAAGAAAGAAAGAAA